TGTGGCCATAAGATTGATCATTTGGCTTGAAAGCCATTGATCTCCACACGTGACAGCTCGTTTCTGGGAACACTTTTTTAAAAAAATTGTCATATTACAAGTTTGTTATTTTTCCTGGGAACTTGGCCACATATAACGACACAATGCGAAGGTTTCCCAATTTTTTGAATTTTTTTGAATTTTTTATGCCTGTTTCAAAATGCGGTCAAAACGGCGGGAATGACCGTTCATAGCTAGGGGTTGAATCTTGGAGTTTTTTTGGTGTTTCTCTGATTAAATAGATACTTATGTACCTAGAAATGATTTTTGGAAATAAAATAAAGAGCAAACTACAAGGCAGCTACAGTTCAAATTTGACCCACTTCCAACTGAATCAGCGGAAATTTGTCTTTTTCATGAGAGGTGGACCAAACTTTTTACACCCAACCATTTGGTCAATTGTGCATTAAATATGGCCTAGTATTTTATAAAACTAATTTGGTCCAATTTTGCAACAATTATTTGGGAGGTCCTTCACAAAAAACCTCCTTTTGGGCACTCAAAAAATGGAAAATGGTTTTTCGTCCAAAGAAAATGAAAACTTCCTTAGGCAACATTGTTTGCCATTCCAAGATGCACCCTTGTGCACAATATGAGATCATTTGAACAAACTATGCCATGAATGAGGCCATAGGATTGATCATTTGGCTTAAAAGCCATGAATCTTCACGCATGATAGCCCATTTCTGAGAACACTTTTTTAAAATAATTACCGTATTACAAGTTTATTATTTTTACTGGTAACTTGGTCACATATGATGACACAACGCAAAGGTTTTGCATTTTTTTATTTTTTTTATTTGTTATGCCCGTTTCAAAATGCAGTCAAAATGACGCGCATGACCGTTCATAGCTAGGAGTTGAATCTTGCCAAAATTTTGTTGGATCTCTGATTAAATAGATACTTCTTTACCTAGAAATGATTTTTGGGAAAAGTCATGAGCAAACTATGAGGCACCTCTAGTTCAAATTTGTCTCGGTTCCAACTGAATCGGCATGGTTTTGTCTTTTTCACTAGAGGTGGGTCGAAAGCTTTTGGCAGCCAACCATTTTGTAAATTGTGCATTGAATATGGACTAATATTTTATAAAAATGATTTGGTCTTATTTTGCAACAAATATTTGGTAGGTCCTTCACAAAAAAACTTGTTTTGGCCACTCGGAAAAAGGAAAATGAACTTTTTGTGCAAAGAAAATTAAAACTCCCATTGGCAACATTGTTTGTCATTCCATCATGCACCGTTGTGCAAAATATGAGATCATTTGAACAAACTATGGCATGAATGTGGCCATGAGATTGATCATTTGGCTTGAAAGCCATGAATCTTCATACATGATAGCTCATTTTTTAGAACACTTTTTTAAAATAATTACTGTATTACAAGTTTATTATTTTTTCTGATAACTTGGTCACATATGATGACACAACGCGAAGGTTTTGCACTTTTTTGATTTTTTTTTGAATTTGTTATGCCCGTTTCAAAATGCGGTCAAAACGACGGGCATGACCGTTCATAGCTAGGGGTTGAATCTTGCCAAAATTTTGTTAGATCTCTGATTAAATAGATACTTCTTTACCTAGAAATGATTTTTGAAAAAAAATCATGAGCAAACTATGATGGACCTCTAGTTCAAATTTGACCCGCTTCCAGCTGAATCAGCAGAGTTTTGTCTTTTTCACTAGATGTGGATCGAAAGCTTTTGGCACCCAACCATTTGGTCAACTGTGCATTGAATATGGAGTAATATTTTATAAAAATGATTTGGTCTAATTTTGCAACAAATATTTGGTAGGTCCTTCACAAAAAAACTCATTTTGGCCACTCGGAAAATGCAAAATGATTTTAACACGTTATTTTTAGTTACCTACGACCAATTTAGATGGTCATAACGCACTACTGCATTCTGATTGGTCCGTGGACGTCTCACGCGAATCATGCATCACATATCGTCGGATGCTCATGGATCCAACGGCAGTCCTCGACCCTTCCACACCAACCCCGAAACCCTAGTCCTCGTGGTCATTTTCCATCCCCACACACACAAACACACACACACACACACACACACACACACACACGCCTCCTTTCTTTCCCTCTCCTCCCCTCGCGGCCATGAAGAGAAGAGCCGCCGCCATGTGGGCCGCGTCGTGCCTGGCGTGCGCGTGCGAGGCGTACCGCACCGCCGTCGGCAGCATCGGCCGCCGCTCCGCGCGGATCTTCTACTGCGGCCTCTTCGCCCTCTCCCTCCTCTCCTCCTGGGTGCTCCGCAAGGTTGCCGCACCGCTCCTTGCGCCCACGGCAAGGCGAGCCCGAGGAGATCAGCTCGATGCGGATCGTGTTTGTCTCGGACGTTTCGGCGGGGTGACGGCGCACGAGCGAACGGACGGGCTGCGGCCTTCCCTCAGGTAACTCTCCTCCTCCTTCCTTGCCCTCCCCTCGGGTGGGGGATCTGGTCCCGCCAAGAGCCCAGATTGCGGGTCAGGGTGCACCCTCGAGCTGCCTTCTCTTTGCTTCCATGGAGGTCTGGGTGATTGCGGCCAGTCGGGCCATTCAGTACTGTATGCCGGTGCCCGCTCACAATTCAGTAAATCTGAATTGCAGGCCAGCGTATGTCCATTCCAGCTAGAGTGTACCCGAGCCTGACCATGGCATGCTCTTACCTTTGTGTCTCAAGTCTGAACTTATATTTGTTGTACTGATGATCCGGCTGAATTATCTTATCCTAAGTTGATCAGATTTGTATTAACTATTCTATTTTCTGTGAGAGTTGCTTAGTATTGTAACTACCCACTTCTACAAATTTCTTTCTAAATTATTGGATCTTGTCCACTAGAAAAGTAAGCCAGTAAGGCATGGACTTCTAATCTCAAGCTCGGGCCTAAGGGTGCAGTTGCTTACTGGTGACTGTCATTTGTGGTGTTACCTGTCTTTTAGGTAGGGGAGTTCAGACAATGAAGCCTGATAGAAGGATAATGCCCCCCTTCACTTCTGCTTGTTTATGTTATATTGTATTGAACTATAGAATGGGTTGCAAACCTATGGAACTTTGTACACAAAGCATGATCGTTGATCTTTCTCGCTTGCTAGACAAACTTCTAGCCAATACTGTCCATGTTACTTGTATAAAAACAAAGTAAATGACATAACTGCTCCTGCACGTAGCATTTGTAGTGGTACTCAGCAAGAACAGAGCAATGTTTCCTTTATTCGAGTCTTGTATCAATGCATTGTTTCCAGCAATACTCTAAAATGGGTTTGATTTAATCTCATGTTTTTCACTGTTTATTGTATACTTTGGCGCACAGGCGCTGCTGGTGTCGGACTTCGGGCCCAAGATCTCGTTCCGGATTATCGACACCCTCCGCGATGCCAAGCTCAAGTCCGGGACCAAGATAAAGGTGATCGATTCAGTCTCAGTTAGTTACAGTGGAGCACAACGGGATTGGTTTCGTGGTCTAATCTGTTGTTCATTGTGGCGGATGACGGGTGCAGTCGTCGCTGAAAAGATGCATCCTCGAGCTGCTCACGACCAAGGGCAGAAAGACCAAGCTGCAGCTCGGCTTCAGGTTCTGCCTGCCCTCTGCTGGACTGAATGAAGCCAGTGGCCACTAGTTTACCATTGTTGAGTGGTGTCTGAATTTTGGGAAGTCTGCGTGTGCTTGGTCATTTTGGCAGGAAACCAGCGGTTATCATGATTGTGGGAGTGAACGGAGGTGGAAAGACGACATCGCTAGGTACTTCTCGGCATGCTTTACTGTATTCTCGGTTCTCGGTCGCATTTACTGTAGACTTTGCAGCAGGAAGGAATGGTATAGGTTCTAGTAATCTAGCACTTTGGAGCTGCAGCGTAAATAAATTGTTGCCCCTCGAATGGTTTGAGTGCCATGAAGAATTGTTTATCATGCTTGTATGAATTGACTCACATAAACTCTGCATTCCTCTGCTTGATTCAGCAGTGTTAGTTGCGACCTGTTATTTTTTGGACAATGAACTACTCCCTCTGTTCCTAAATATATGACCTTTTGGTTATTCAATTTGAATTACCAAAACGTCATATATTTAGGAATGGAGGGAGTAAATGATTATAATCAAAAGAGAACTGCTAAATGGAAGAAGATTTTATAATCACAGAAAATTTGACAACTTCTCTGTTTGTAAAAATGGTTGCTAGCTCTGTCTGTCAGCCCATATTTACTTGTTTCTTCCATTTAGATGGAGCAGGAGCCCTCCATGGACGACATCGACGAGGAGGAAATCGACTCCCCACATAAGGTTTGATCCTTACTGTGATGTTTTTCCTATCGCTGCTATGTTGTAGTCTAGTTTCTGTTGTGGCTGTGAAACCAAACTAGGGTGGCCTAATTGATGAGGTCCTGTATGTGGCCTTGGTCTTAGTTCATATCATATTTGTTCCTACCTGTATGATGCATGCTTGGTTAATGCTCACGGACTAGCTAGCTAAGGTGGTTGTTTTGCTACTGAATGAATGTTGTTTCAGTTTGTACCTCATCTAGCTAAGTTTTAGTTCTCTAAACTAGACGGCTATGTAGTTTCAGTTTACTCAGTCCAGTGATCCTGTTTTTGGATTTCTCCGGCTATTCTCTAAACTGAATTTGGTTCAGTTAAAAAACTGCACTACCTGACTGTTTAGGGCAGAGAGCTTCTAACTGAAAAACGAGTTTGTTATGCTCATAATTTCAAGTTGGCCTCTACATATGAGTTGTAAAGCATGTTCTAAGGTTTCCGTAGAGTACTTATTTGCTTTGTTTGGATGTACGGTTTGAGAGCATCCGTCTATTTAGTTTGCTGTCCAGAAACATATGCACGGCTTCACTTGATTATATTTCTAACTTTTATGATTTATAACCCGTAGATTTGGGGCTTCATTCGTCAAAAGTTGGTGTACAAGGAACTCCAGGAGAAGAATCCCAAAGAAAACCCGCAACCACCGCACCCAACAATGTGTTTTAGCACCCACCGCGTCGTCGAAGCCGGCCAAGTCGGGTGGAGGCAAGCAGAAGAAGAAGTGGAGCAAGGGCAAACAAAAGGAGAAGGTGAACAACGCGGTGATCTTCGACCAGGCCACCTACGACAAGCTGCTCACCGAGGTGCCCAAGTACAAGCAGATCACGCCCTCCGTCCTCTCCGAGCGACTCAGGGTAACGCACTCCCACTGGATTTGTTATTCTTACTTGCTTCCTTCCTTCCTATGTGAAGTGACATCTGGGGATGGTAGGATATGTGTGTGATGCATCATGGCTCCTGGTCAAGTACTTTACTGTGATGCTCTGTTTTGGGGTCAGTCTGTACAAGTGTAAGAACACACCCATGCGCTAGTGTTATGAATTGATTGGATGCTGGATTCGGCTGCTGCATCAGTTTTTTGTGCAGATTTTGCTTGGTGTGCCATGTTATAGATAGGGTGCAGTGGATTTGATATGGCCATCTGGTCATCATTTATGTCGTGTGTCACAGATATTCAACATAGCCATTGATTTGTAGTGTTTCATATAGTTAAATGTGGTTTGATGCTGCTGCTTTACACTTAATTAACCTGTCCCTACATCTTACTGTTAACAATATGTGCCTGACATGCCTTGTTCATTAGAACTACTGATTGATGTGAGCACCGTGCATTTTCAAGTATGCACAATGTATATTAGTGTGTCATATGTTTGTTTGATTTTTATGGTGCTGCAGATCAACGGGTCGCTGGCTCGCAGGGCCATCAAGGACCTGATGGAGAGGGGACTCATCAGGATGGTGTCAATCCACTCCAGCCAGCAGATCTTCACCAGGGCAACAAACACTGCCACCAGTCATGTTAATATTCAGCTGTATTTTATAGTTGAATACCTGTTTGTACTGCCCAAATAGAGAAGACGTGTTTGGCTGTTGAATACCTGATTGTAAAGTACTTTGTTTGGCTGTTGTTTGAAATTTTATGTCTTATTGGCTCTGTTTGAATCAAGTTATTGTATGCTGCCCAAATAGAGAAGATGTGGGTCCTTTAAAATGGAAAAAACTGACAAGTGGGACCTAATTAGATGACCTGACTAGTGGGACCTGGTCCAAAATGGATTGTAAAAAGGCTGAGGCCCAAATAAGAAATCGAAGCAAAAAGGCCAAAGGCCTAGAAAATAAAAGGCTGAATTGTTGGGCCTGGCCCATGTAGCTGACCAAAATGAACAGGGAAAAAATACATTAAAAGGTTGAATTAATGGGCTCGGCCCATATAAACACCCAATTGGACCGGGCCGATTCTTGTGCCACATCAGATTGCCACGTCGAATGCCTACGTGGCCTGGGGAGGCTGCTAGTGACCAAAACAAAACAATAGGCATATTTTGGTCGTAAACATCCACGACCTTCTCACAGAGAAGGTCGTTAATTTCAGTTTACGGCCGCCAGCTTTTGACCTTCTGTTTTTGGTCAAAAAAAGGTCGCAAATAAAAAATAATGACAATTCAATGACCAATAGTCAAGGTCACAAGTTGACATATTTCTTGTAGTGTTCGATCGCATGTTAGAGGATCACAAAAAACGGTTGTACCCCAATTGTGAAGATGGCAACACAGAGCTCGGTACCGTACTAGAATTGCTGCAGTGGAAGGTGATACGTCTCCGTCGTATCTATAATTGTTTATTGTTCCAAGCCAATATTCTACAACTTTCATATACTTTTGGCAACTTTTTACACAATTTTTGGGACTAACATATTGATCTAGTGCCCAGTGCCAGTTCATGTCTGTTGATGTGTATGTTTCGCAGAATATCCATATCAAACGGAATCCAAACGGGATAAAAACGGACGGAGCTTATTTTTGGAATATTTGAAAAATTCCGGAAGAAAAATCCGCGCGAGACGGTGCCCGAGGTGGCCACGAGGCAGGGGGCGCGCCCCTGACCCTCGTGGGCCACCCGTAAGGCGGTTGATGCCCTTCTTCGGCCGCAAGAAAGCTAATTTTCGGAAAAAAATCACGGCGAAGGTTTCGATCCAATCGGAGTTACGGATCTCCATATATACCCGAAACGGTGAAAAGGCAGCAGAACAGAACATGGAAACAGAGAGAAACGGAGAGACAGATCCAATCTCGGAGGGGCTCTCGCCCCTCCCATGCCATGGAGGCCAAGGACCAGAGGGGAAACCCTTCTCCCATCTAGGGAGGAGGTCAAGGAAGAAGAATATGAAGGGTCCCCCTCTCCCTGATGTCTACTACACAACCTTCTTCTTGTAGACGTTGTTGGGCCTCCAAGTGCAGAGGTTTGTAGGACAGTAGCAAATTTCCCTCAAGTGGATGACTTAAGGTTTATCAATCCGTAGGAGGCGTAGGATGAAGATGGTCTCTCTCAAGCAACCCTGCAACCAAATAACAAAGAGTCTCTTGTTTCCCCAACACACCCAATACAATGGTAAATTGTATAGGTGCACTAGTTCGGCGAAGAGATGGTGATACAAGTGCAATATGGATAGTAGATAATAGTTTTTGTAATCTGAAAATATAAAAACAGCAAGGTAGCAAATGATAAAAGTGAGCATAAACGGTATTGCAATGATAGGAAACAAGGCCTAGGGTTCATACTTTCACTAGTGTAAGTTCCCTCAACAATGATAACATAATTGGATCACATAACTATCCCTCAACATGCAACAAAGAGTCACTCCAAAGTCACTAATAGTGGAGAACGAACGAAGAGATTATGGTAGGGTACGAAACCACCTCAAAGTTATTCTTTGCAATCAATCTGTTGGGCTATTCCTATAGGTGTCACAAACAGCCCTAGAGTTTGTACTAGAATAACACCTTAAGACACAAATCAACCAAAACCCTAATGTCACCTAGATACTCCAATGTCACCTCAACTATCCGTGGGTATGATTATATGATATGCATCACACAATCTCATATTCATCTATTCAACCAACACATAGAACCTCAAAGAGTGCCCCAAAGTTTCTACCGGAGAATCACGACGAAAACGTGTGTCAACCCCTATGCATAGGTTCATGGGCGGAACCCGCAAGTTGATCAACAAAACATACATCAAGTGAATCACGTGGTATCCCATTGTCACCACAGATACGCACGACAAGACATACATCAAGTGTTCTCAAATCTTTAAAGACTCAATCCGATAAGATAACTTCAAAGGGGAAACTCAATCCATTACAAGAGAGTAGAGGGGGAAGAGAAACATAAGATCCAACTATAATAGCAAAGCTCGCGATACATCAAGATCGTGCCAAATCAAGAACACGAGAGAGAAAGAGAGAGATCAAACACATAGCTACTGGTACATACCCTTAGCCCCGAGGGATAACTACTCCCTCCTCGTCATGGAGAGCATCGGGATGATGAAGATGGCCACCGGAGAGGGATTACCCCCTCCGGCAGGGTGCCGGAAAGGGTCTAGATTGGCTTTCGGTGGCTACGGAGGCTTCTGGTGACGGAACTCCCGATCTATTGTTTTCTTGGATGTTTTTAGGGTATATGGAGATATATATAGGCGGAAGAAATACGTCAGGGGGGCCATGAGGGTGGAGGGCGCGCCCAGCGGGGTGGAGTGCTACTTGGCATAATTCCAATGTAATTCTTCTTAATTGTGGTATGAATATTCAGATCCGAGAGATTCAAGATAAAAGTTCATATTGACATAGAAATAATAATACTTCAAGCATACTAACTAGCCAATTATGTCCTCTCAAAATAACATGGCCAAAGAAAGTTCATCCCTACAAAATCATATAGTTTAGTGATGCTCCATTTTCATCACACAAGAATGCTCTCATCATGCACAACCCCGATGACAAGCCAATCAATTGTTTCATACTTTAGTAATCTCAAACCTATAAACTTTGATGCAATATATGAGCGCGAGCCATGGACATAGAACTATGGGTGGAATTGAATATGATGATGGGGGTTATGTGGAGAAGACAAAAAAAGGAGAAAGTCTCACATCAATGAGGCTAATCAATGGGCTATGGAGATGCCCACCGATTGATGTTAATGCGAGGAGTAGGGATTGCCATGCAACGGATGCACTAGAGCTATAAATGTATGAAAGCTCAACAAAAGAAACTAAGTGGGTGTGCATCCAACTTGCTTGCTCACGAAGACCTAGGGCACTTGAGGAGGCCCATTGTTGGAATATACAAGCCAAGTTCTGTAATGAAAAATTCCCACTAGTATATAAAAGTGACAAAACAAGAGACTCTCTATCATGAAGATCATGGTGCTAATTTGAAGCATAAGTGTGGCAAAGGATAGTAGCATTGTCCCTTCTCTCTTTTTCTCTCATTTTTTTGGGCCTTCTCTCTCTTCTTTTTTATGGCCTTTCTCTTTTTTGGGGCCTTCTCTTTTTATGGCCTTTTTTTAATTCCTCACTTGGGACAATGCTCTAGAAAATGATGATCATCACACTTCTATTTATTTACAATTCAATGATTACAAATCGATACTAGAACAAAGTATGACTCTATATGAATGCCTCCGGCGGTGTACCGGGATATGCAATGAACCAAGAGTGACATGTATGAAATAATTATGAACGGTGGCTTTGCCACAAATACTATGTCAACTACATGATCATGCTAAGCAATATGGCAATGATGAATGTTTCATGATAAACGGAATGGTGGAAAGTTGCATGGCAATATATCTTGGAATGGCTATGGTAATGCCATAATAGGTAGGTATGGTGGCTGTTTTGAGGAAGATATAAGGGGGTTTATGTGTGAAATAGCGTATCATACCACGGGGTTTGGATGCACCGGCGAAGTTTGCACCAACTCTCAATGTGAGAAAGGGCAATGCACGGTACCGAAGAGGCTAGCAAGGATGGAAGGGTGAGAGTGTGTATAATCTATGGACTCAACATTAGTCATAAAGAACTCACATACTTATTGCAAAAATCTACAAGTCATCAAAAACCTCGGCACTACGCGCATGCTCCTAGGGGGATAGATTGGTAGGAAAAGACCATCGCTCGTCCCCGACCGCCACTCATAAGGAAGACAATCAAAGAACACCCCATGTTTCAAATTTGTTACATAACGTTTACCATACGTGCATGCTACGGGACTTGCAAACTTCAATTGTAGCGACCAGACCTCAAACGGTCCAATCTCTGTGCTCAGGTGTCATCCCTGGATCAGTAATGCTGACACCACACAGTACTTGAAGGATTTATAACAGAGTAGCAATCACACACTTATTACATCGATTGTCTCAAAAGAGAACTTATTACAATAAATATGGCTTAAGGCTATCTAATAACGATAACAGCGGAAGGCTTGGAAGATAAGTGAGTCCATCAACTCCAACGGCATCACT